GGAAGGACGGGGAGGAGGTAGAAAAGGAGGAGAAAGAGGTGAGCCGAGGGCACGAAAAATGAGACCATAGTTCGCCACCAGTAGAATCAGAGCTCCTCCTGTGAACCCGGCCCAGTTAGGTGAGCGAGAGCATGGATGAAGCACACAAAAAAAAGAGCCGCGTGCGAACAAACGCCCGCCCTCCTGCGTGGCCTGGCCTGGCTAGCTCTGACTGGCTGGCTGGCTGGCTGGATGACCCCACGCACACTGGCCTAGATCAGGCATCAGACGTATTGCCGCCGTTTCGTCATCGTTATCGACATCAGGGCTGGGAAATGAGTCGCTTTAGCAAAATCCGGATAATATGTCGTTTGTGCACTTCTTGGGCAAATAATATAATATTATGATGTGAACCGCTTCGGCAAACGGGTTAGAACCATTTCGACAAACATGTCAGCATTAGTTCAACACATTAATGGGTGCACCCACTAAGGCAAACGGGTCAGGAAAGAGAGTTAAGAGTCTGAATTCGGATGGTTTTTCATTGAGAATTATCCAGTTATCCTGATATATTATCCGGATTTTGCCAACCTCTAATCGACATCAGGCAGGCACGACGTGAAGAAACCCGACTCCGATTCTGTTCAGGCTTCTTCCAACATCGCCGATCGCGATTACGAGTACGTTTCCTGGGACGAATTTTATAAATGAAGTCATGGAAATCTCGAGGTTGTGATGTTGGCCGCGTTTTAGTTTTAGTGACTCGCCCGCATGCTAGTTTTGTTTCGGGCGGGGTGGGGGATTTTAAAAAAATGTTTTGTTTGTATATTGTTCGTAAGTATTGTTTTTTCTTGTTTCGTGTATTTGGACCATGTATCTCCAGCTTTTGTGTTTCTCAACCTTTGCATTTTAACCTATGACTTTTCATTTATTTTCCTTTCATAACTCCTTTGTGTAATTATGTTGTGCTTTCATTTTCTTTTTTTCTTCACCTTTTATAAGAGATGACATTAGCATTTAGTGAAGAGGGATAAGTCTTTTAGCAGACTCTCTCTCTCTCTCTCTCTCTCTCTCTCTCTCTCTCTTTCTCTCTCTCTCTCTCTCTCTCTCTCTCTCTCTCTTTATCTGTTCTTCTCCCAACCTTATGTTTTCTATTTCTCACTGAGCTCCCCC